ATAATACCAAACAACTCTCCTTTACAAAATGACATTAAATGAGGTTGAAACTGTCATGTGCATTGCAGTCCTAAAAAGTCCATGAAAAGCCATGGACTTTGGTTTTCAGATATTTGAACCATGGTTTCTGAGCAGTTTGAGTTCTGTTTTTGCCTTAACTCAAAAGTGTTATCAGTTTGCCATCCTCGTGGGTCGATGCGTCAATATTTATCCGTTGTCCTTCTTGCTAAATCTCGGTCGAAGGCAGAAGATTCCGTGGAACGTCCAGCACATGCTCATGTTTTCAGGTCAGTGAATTACAGCAACCTTTGAATCCTTGACCTTGAATCCCATTTCTTGACCTCTGACCCCTGACATGTATGGCATCAGAAAGATGACTGTCACTTCACTACTGTAGTTTTGCACTGTCATAAAGTGAACACAGTAACACACTCTCAGCCCGATGCATCTCTGTACAGCTTGCTACAGTTTAAGGTAAAGCTTGATCGTAAGTTGAGGTGTGGATAGGGCATGAAGTTTGCGAAAAATTAATCTCAGTGTGTGAAGTAAATTGGACATTTTTTCCATAGAATGTCAGTGTCCTATTGCTGAATTTCAATTCATGTAGTGGGAAACTGTCCTGTATAAAAGTTTTGCTCAATCAGGTATTGAAATGAAAGTGACTAACATTAAGCACACATTCAAGGCTACTTTGTATTCCATTCACTTGCTGTTTCTGTTTAGGCAATGCAGTTTTCCCATACTGAGACTTTAAAGTAACCCCTAGCTTATTTTTCTAAGCATTGTTATTGCAACTAAGTTCAGAGTCCAAAGACATTATGCTGCCATGCATCTTTTCTTCTCTTCTGAAAGTGATCAGTATTCAGTGGACATTTGGCAGGCTAGAAGTTAGCAGTAAATGAAATTGAAACTTCCAATACTTGCACAGACTGTTTTTAGACATGATACATTTTTCCCTGCAGGTTTAAGAGGGGCCATAGCCTTCGCTCTAGCCATCCGTAACACCGCCACGACGGCACGGCAACTGTCGCTAACGGCAACCCTCGTCATCGTTCTGAGCACCGTGGTGCTGTGTGGAGGCATGACAACGCAGATGTTGACGTGGTTGAAAATAAGGTACATCTTCATACAAAGTCTTCTAACGTTTATCCTGAATTTTTTGTCGGACGAAATTCAGCACAAAACAAAATGCAGAAGACCAGCCATTTTAAATGAATATTAACTGGAATCACAATCATTTCACCAGAGCTATCATGATCCTGAAAATAGAAAGTGACAGGTGCAGCACTCTTTGTTGTGTGATCATTGTGCTGTAGGCTCTTATTACCCCTGATCACCGGGCCTTTGGACAGTCCTATTAACCTCAGCTATCACAAGAGTACCTGACTCAAGATGAACTCCCTGGTATTTCTGAATACCATCAGCACCGCTTTTCATGTACCTCGCTGCTTCAGCATTGTTTTGCCAGTGACGCCTCTCGAGAGAATGCTTCAAAACTCTAAATATTCCTGCGCTGTTTTGAAATGATTGTAGAGATTGTCACCATCTAAAAGGACCGGTGGTTCTCCTGTTGGCATTCATAGATCAGTGTTCCCATTTTGGGGCATCTTGGGTTCTCAGGCTGCTGTCAGTGGGACTATAGTTTGTGCTTTGAATGTGCAACAAAGCTGTGTCTGACGGTATACTTGTTTTGTTTTGAGTTTAGCGACAGTTTCATGCCCAGATGACCTCAATTTTTTTTACCTCACAATTTCTGTATTAACATTTTTCCACAGTCACATTTCTTCTGCCGCTAATCAAGTTGGCTAACCGTCTCACTGCCTTTCACTGAGCATTCATTGCTTTTTAACAATTGCATATGGCACACTGTGTGTGGGGTAATGGAGAGCTTTCATGAGAAACCATCTTGAAGGACAGATGTGTTATTTAGAATGCTGAATTGCTGATACAGTAATAATTTTATAAGCATATGGGAATCCTAACTTCTGGCAAGGAGCGTGAGCTTATACTTCAACATGTAGCACATCCCTTCAAAGTGCCTTGGAGCAATCAGTTCACAAATATCACGCAATCGTCCTTGCGTACTTCTTGCAGAAATACCCCTGGTTGTTGGTATCCAGCAACTTGTCGTTAAGACCAATCAAACCATGATCTTGAAGAAATCAGTTCATGTAGATTGTCATGGAAGCTCTCTAACTGTGGTGTTGTATATTAGGACAGGTGCCCTCTGTTGATTGCCGGCTTTAGCTCGCACCCCCCCCATAGCCCTAGGTTGTTTGTTGAAAGGATTGCATTGCGCAAGTCATTGCAGTTGTGAGATGTATCTATTTTTATACACCAAAGTGCATTAATGGGCTGCCGCAGATTTCAAATAGAGCGCCCTTGATGTTCCTTATCACAGCACCCTCAATTTCCCCATTCACAATGATGTCCACATACACCAAGGAGCCATCTTCATATCACTGCTAAAATGACTATTAGACGCACTGATCACAATCTCCTCTTGAGAAGCACAGTTTATCTTGGAAACCACTCACCTTCATAAATTGTTTTGCTTGCTGAAGGCATCGAGCCCAACTTTTCATGTGCCCTGCGGATGTGCTTTGGTAGCAGTTGTATGAAGTGGTTCCCTTGTGTGGCTGGTATCGCCATGTCTATCTCTGTCTTCCTCTCTCATTCTGTCTCACTCGTGCATGCGTGCCTTTGCTATTAACTCACAAGGGTCTCAATCCGACATTCGGGGTCGTTCTGGGCAGACCCCGGTGAGCCATCTTGGAATGCCGTCATGGTTGTTTCCGAGGAGGGAGGCAACTCAACTTCCACTATGATTGTTTCTAGGGTCGGGGTGTCGGACGAGGATACGACCCAGCCCGGGATGCAGGTCGTTGGGTCGGTGAGTGCTTTGAGCAGAAATGCTGGATCATTTGTTGCATCGAACATCAAATACCGACACATTTTGGAAAATTGGAATTTCGAAAAATTAAAATGAAGCTTTCAAAATAAAGTATTGTTGGTTGAGATTTTATAATCAGACTAATTGGGCAAAAGATTCAAATTGATAAGTCTTTTCCTGAAGTCTTACGACATTTAACATTTTTAGACTGTTAAAGTAATCTGTAGTGTTTAATTTGTCATTGTAGCAGCAGACTGAGCATGACGTAAGATTAAGGAAGAGATATGAACAAGCCTGGATTGTGAGACAGTGGTATGATGTAGACTACAAGTATCCTTTGGGAAAAGTATTTCACTTGCATTGGATTGAGTATTTAAATTGTCATTTACTGGTTTTGTCCCAAACAATTCATTTCCTCGACATATTGACTGTTCTGCTTGTGATGTAGCTGTCAATGGCGTAAAAATTTGAGCACTGTAAAAGTGATGTCATCAATTGTATAAACGCCAGTTGTTAAGTCTGAAAAAAATGGAAGTGTTGTCGTTTTTCCTGTCTTCTGCTTCATGTATTCAACGATTCTTTGTTATTAATTTTCAGAGGTTCAGCAAAGGTTTATGCAGTTGTTAATATTTGTGTTTTTTTCACAAATGTCCAACTTATGCTTTAGAAAGACCTCCACCTTAAAAAGTGTAAAGTAACAACTCCTGAACCACATTTACAGATTTTTCAAACCTATCTTCACAAGGAAAGGTGCAGATCTGAAGGAGACTCTACCTACCTGCTGTTATCCCATTGCTAGATGTCTCACTGTGAGGGTAAGATCTTGGTCTCATTTAATACATCCCAAGAAATCTAGGCTAAGAATAATGAATATTTCTTTCCCAAAATGCCTCTGCATGAACCTACCCCTGAGGTACTTTATTTTGTAGAAATCTGTTGAATATTTCAATTTTCTTGGGGAATCAACCCCCACTAAACGTAAAAGTACCTGGGCTCTGCTTGTACCTTCCCCCGCCAATCAAAACTTCATTATGAATAGGGGCGAACTATAGTTCACCACCAAGTGGTTGCCACAGAGTGGCCATTTTTCAAATATACGGTTGACGAAAGCGTGGCCGCCTTGCTGCAATTTGCATTTGAGCATGTCAGCAGACGTCTTGGGGATATCTTTGGAGGATCTTCTTCCTCGACAGACGTTGATAATAATTTCTCTACGCACAGCCGGAGAATAGAAACTCTTGACATTTCCCACAATGCACTGAAAAATGGCTTTTTTGTGGCAACCTCTGGATGGCGCACTCTGATTTCAGTTGCCGTTGTCATAAAAGATATCAGAATGTTAGTTCTACACATCATGTTATTCTTTTTCCCCTAGGATGAGCACATTGATGAAGACAGCGACAGTGACTTGATCCTGGAGGATAATAGCTCCTCTGCAGAGCAGCATTCGACCTCCCAAACCGACCCAAACCAGACAGCCAATCACACGGAAGATGACACAGGATTGGACGGTGACCTAGGCCTGGGAAACATTCAGATTAAAGGCCTGAGTCTACAACAGACACCCACTCAAGTATAAATTGGAAATACTCACGCCAAACAAATAGTAGTATCTATAGTGTATTGTGCTTGTTATTTTATGTTTTTTTGTATCATGTTATGTTTGCAGATATTCTTTAGGAAAACTTGTATTGCCAATTGATTGAACTTGATTAATTTTGTTGTCAGAGAGGCTTGATTCTTTGACTGGGAGACGTGGAGAGGCTTGATGGTGGCAGATAGATGGGTCCTTTTCCACAGTTGTGCACTTGCTTGCCCACTCCCAGAACTGGCAACAGACCCAATTTGTCTGCTGCCACTAAGTGTCTCAAAGTCTCCATTAGTGTGTACACACAGACTAGTCTGGTTCCCTGCCCCAAAATTCCCTGACGACCCTTGATAAAGAATTTTAGGTCAGGCATCACCCACGGATATAAATTGATATGATGCAAGGGTTAGAGGTCACAAGTTGAAGCCCGGATGTTTTTGATTTCATTCCCTTACTTGGTGGGTTCCAAGTCAGCTGAGTGTTCCCTTATGAGGCGCACTTGAAAAAATCTCAGAAATTTCAAAATCATACATCAACATGTTTGAAATTCTTCAATCAGTTCTTGTACAGCAACATTCCCTCCACGCACACACCAATCAACAAGTAAGTTGTTTGTAACTTTGTTAATATATACCAATGCATGATTGTCGACGGTTTACGTTCAACAAGCCCACCTACCCGACAGGGAGTAACCGAACATCAACGGTACAATTCGGTACCGAACATGCAGAATGTAGACGGGACAACTTTGGAATATTTCGGCAATCTCCGGAAAACTGGAGGAATTCCTCCAGTCCTGGTCACATGACATCGGGTGATATCAGACCCTTGATTCGTCGTCAGAATCATCGGGTCTGGTATCCAGACTACACACAGACATAAAGAAATTATCCATACTTGTGAAGACATGATACTGTTGTCTAAAACCAATCATTTTAGATCTGATTATGAGTCACTCATTTTTAACCTCATGCTAAGGTTCTTTTGTGCCGTCCTTCAAATATTTTGTGAATCCACAAGCAAGCAGAGCTTTGCTCAGATCCTTCGTGGTTTGATATTGCCAAAAGTCTTTGTAAATGTGCAACACATTTATCATAACATATCATGGCCAATGAATCATGTTTATGTAACATTGCCCTTAGGTGTGTTTGATAATATCATTGGTTGTGATGTAAGCACTCGGCAGCATTAATGACAAGTTGTTTGTAACTGAACTGTAATTCTCAGGTTTGGGTTTTGCTGGAATGGAGAACATCCAAGTGAAACCAAAGTATTGTATAAAGGCAGAAAAGAAGGAAACTTGACAAAAAAGCTTTATTCTTTTTGTGAATTTTTTAAGGATTAAACCTGTTATATATTTCATTTTAGTTCTCGAAGTTAATGACATTTTTTAAGACTTTAGAATTCGTACCTCCCTGTCCTTGAACCGTTTATGTTTTTGTTCTTTTCCTGTGAAATTCATAGTTTTGCCTATTTTGCTTTACTTGTTTAATTACTTGCCTCTTACTTGTTCAAAAGCGATTCAATTTGACTTCTTAACTTGACTTGACATGTTGGATTTAGGGGAAGGTTTGTATCACTAAAAACCTTTCCTAGGAGCAAATTAAAATTCAAAGTTTAATTCACAGTTTGTCACCCCATTTGCTATTCTTTGAGTATCATTATTTTATCCCCCTGCACAGTGATTTGTTATTTAGTTGTCATTCCATTCACTGTTCCTCAAAGCCTGTACTTCATCATCTGCTCAGTCTGCAGAAAGGTCTCGCGGAAATAATGTACTGTATGTAAATAGATTTGTGCATACATGGAGATTGTGTCCAAATGACTTGGCTGTGGCTTGAAATTACATATGAGATATGGTAATGGCTGTAGCCTCATCCCATAGAGTCGTGTAAATTCAAGCCGCATCCAACTATATGTGCTATTAGCATATGTCTGGCTATTTTCTATTTATCTGTTGACTATGTAGCCATGTATCTCGGACAAAATAATGGCTTTCAGATTAAAACTGAATGAAGTGTGCTTGCCTTTTCATTTGGTTTTAAGTTGATATATGGCAGTGTAATTACCCAAAATGATGAGATGTGTGTACATGTATATGACCTTGGGTTATTTCTAGTCGCAAATTAAAAGGAAAGAGGAATTGGTAGACTAGTTTTTACTCTTCTGTATGCACAAAAGAACTGAAAAAAGGAAAGTCTTCAACAACAGTCCTAAAATCTCCCAATCTTCGTATGATTTTACTTACACTTTAGGAGGTTAGTGTTAATTAGTAAGTGGGTCTGCTCTAGCCTTCTGTTATTGTGAACATGGTGAAGGTCGTAAAGATGGAGATCCCTTCTCCAATGGCTATTCTGATTGGCTGTCAGGGATATGCATATGAATGAGAAAGAACTTATACAGATGGGAAAGGACACTGTTTTGACCATATGATATGTGTGCATCTAGGTATAAAATGAAATGATGAAAGCAGCTGTGTACAAACAAACTGTCAAGGAACAGTTTATGAATTTCACTTCAATGTTACAAACTCCACGGAGAGTTGACTTTTAGTTACTATGGATTATAATATTATAATTATTCATAACTACCCAAGACAGATAGCCATTTCTATTGGTTGAGAGCCCATCATATGGTTAATTGGTCTTAAACAGTTGATAAAGCACTGGCTGCTTGTGCCTTGCCTTGTGCAGTAAGTGCCGCACGCACACAGGCGCCATATAAAGGAATTATTTACAATTTCTCTTGCGAAGAACATACCATAACATGGTCAGGGGGTGTTTTAAGATACTGCAATAAAATTCCTTAACAACCTCGTTGGAAATTTATAATTGTGACTCTAAAGGTCTTTATGATAAACAGTCAGGAAAATGGAGGCAATATCCCTCAGCTTTACCGTCCTTGAGCATTATGAGTCTCCTTTGTCCTGATATAGTCTTAACTGAACATTTTTAGACCAAACAAGCACCTATACAGTTCCCAAATTGAATGGATGGAAAATACCGGAATGGGATGTGTAGTTGATCTTTTCTGAATCATCACAGTGCTAAGCCAGAAGCCACATTTTGCAACCATTGTCTTTCTGATGTTGGTATGATTTTGCTACTTTTATTATTAAAAAAAAATTGAAAATCATGAAAAAATGATTACGGAATGTTTTCAGAGCTCAGTACATGTTACGTTGGGTTCCAAAGCTCACTTGTTATATCTATCTATGCATTGCTATGTAACGGTAGAAAAGGTGTCCTGAAGTGATTAATTGAGCTTAATTATATGGTCATCATGTGACAGTTGTTATACTAATGTGACACGGTACTTTATGTAATTAAATATGCATTGCTTAGTTGTTAACACATTGTATATATGAAATGTGAATATTGCTATTGTAAGACATGGCAAAAAAATAAAATGTGTTTGTTTATGCTAATGAGTGTGTGTGTGTGAATTTGTGTCAGTTGTCATTTTGAAAATAAATATTTAAGATGTCAATTTGAAAAGTTATAAATGTCCTGGAATGTGTCACTGTGATAAACCTAAATAACATTCTTTGCATGATTTGTGTAAATCTTTATCATTGTCAAATCAATCATTTAAAAAATATTTGAATAAGTTTGATCAGATAGAGTTGCTTGACTTTTTATGAGACGTTTTACGATGACATCATGATTATTCATCGTATGCAAATATCAGGCGCCATTTTGAATGTTTTGAATCACCTGGCAGCGAAATAAACTTCCGATCGTTGTTGGGCCATTCACGGATGAGAAAATTGTTTTCGTTTCATCGGGTATGTTTTAATAGAAGATTGTATTGATGTTTAAGGATAGTTTCACCTTCTTGTTAAACGTACTTTTGCTGTTATTGCTCAGGAAATTAGATTGCTGTCTGATGATGTTCAGTTTTCAGGAACGTTCGGGAACGTGGGGGAAATCAGCTTATCTTGTTTATTCCAAAAGCTTGTATTTCCGACAGATAGGCAACCCTTGTCAGATTTTATTTTGAGTATAAAAGCAGTCAATACGGACGGGGACAACTAACATCAGGTATTGTATATTTGGGGACCCTGTTCCTATAAGAGAGACCTACACTTCAACATGTTTGGATTCACATGGTTTATGTAGACATACATGGTAGATGAGTCTAGGCCTAGGTCTGTCTTAGTGACTACTCTGACAATGTTTTTTCAATTAACGCTTGGCAAATGATGGGGGATTCAAATTTGCATGGCTGGTTTATAAGAAAGTCACATTTTCTCACATTCTTAGTCACCATTTCCAATAAAGAAGAAAATAGAAATAGGGTCAGCGCAAAAAGAGAGTGTTGCCTTTGGATTTCTTGGGAGCTGACCAGTTTTACGAGATTAAAATTACCAAAAGCTGAGTGTCCCCAAATATGCAATCCTCCAACAGTCACCTGACTAGATTTTCCTGTAGCGACATATTGTAATTAGCCATCATAAAGGGAGAAAGCATTTTGGTATTGTCAGCCCTCTAATGTAAAGTTTTATAGGTCCAGTTTAGACCTAGCACTGAGCATGCCCAATATTCCCAATACTAGCAGGGTCGGTAAATGTTTTAGGTCTTACATGTACGTGTAAGTTAGTCTTTACATATACATTAGCTGGTTAATTATTAGAAATGAATGGCAGGCTTAAGGGTTTTGGGCCAGCCGCTTACTGTCAAATGATGTCCAGATATGGTTATGGAACTGTTTCCTCTTTTTTTTTTCCAAAGGAGTAGAGAGTTGAACTTTGTGCATGAGAAACGTTTGACTGTGGTAACATGGCAAGCCTTAGGCCATTCAACACATCCACCAAGGATCCAACTTCCTTCAGATTCAGGCGAGTGATGTTACATGTTGCTTGGGTAACCAGAATGTGGCCTAGCTTGTACTTGTCTCTGTAACTGATGGGCTATAAAAACAAAACTACCCCTCCCTCAGGGACAAAGATTACCCTGGAGAATAGACATAGACTGTTCAGTATTAATCAGTAATGTTTATTATCATCCCTAGTTATTTTGTTACAGGCATTTAAGCAAGCAACAATTACCTGTATTTTTGGTGTATTTAGGAACCCTCAACTATCATCCAAGGACTCGGAGCGCTTGGATACTGATAACTACAAGATGGAAGCTCGACTAAGAGAATTGAAACTAAGCATGAGACGACAGAAGCAGGAGAGGGAGTAAGTAGAGTTGTGACAAGACTGTACAGTTGCTCAGTAGGGGTTGGGCTTTAGATTTAGTTTCAGGGTTTTATTTATTTTATCTACTGACCTGCTATTGTGGTGGGCATGAGCAGAAATCAAACCTGAGGGAAAGTGGTCATTACTCGTTGGCACCAGTGGTCACTTCATGTCCACCCCCCAGGCTTTACAGTGCTCGTCCTTGCTAACTGCTTGTCATCGTCATGATAGAACAATCAACAGCCAAATAGACTGGTTACTCGGAAGTTCCCTTAGAAACTGTCTTGTGTTGTAAGCAAATCCTTGACTTTCCTGCCATGAAGAATTTTATATTTTGCTGTGTCTTCGTGGTGACAGAAACATGCATTCCGATGGATCTATCTGGTCTTCTGGTAAGCCAGGCGCTGTCACAACACACGGCAGTGACTTGTTGAAGAAAGAACCAAGCAAGCCCTTGCACTCTAAAGGAAAGGTAGGCTGTGTAGATCTCAGAAAGAAATGTCATCTTAATGTCTTGGTCATACCTCGTGTGACTGTCAACATGTAAGAAATTTTTATATCACGTTTAGTTTGGCAGATTATAGTCGTAGTGTTTCATGAGCATCAAACTTCATTCTCAACCAAGCTTGACCATTGAATCATGATTGTTTTTACTGAGTAATTTTTGCTTTCCTTTTAGGCTAGAAAAATCAAGGTGCTGAAGGATTCACCATTAGGTAAGAGTATGCTAATGGGTAGAGTTGGAGATGCCTAAATTGACTTCTTTGTGCAACGCTGATAATTGTTTCAATGTTCCAGTCTGCAAGAAGACTGCTTTAAACTTAAAAGAATGCTGCTTTCCATTTAAACTTTTTATCAGGAAATTGATTGGATGCGTCTTTTGTTTGAATCAGTTACACTTTTCCCTTACATTTCACTGTCTTTAGATCTTCCAAAACGTGCGCCAGTAGCACGTTCTTTTTCTGACTCAAGTCCACCAAAGTTGAAAGGACCAGCTTGCGGACAGTGTGAACACAAAGCTGTTGCCTTGGTGAGTTGTCCAAAGCTTTTTGGCCGCTTTTAACCCTGTAAACTTCGCTGTGGTTGTGATGTATGAACCAGGTTTTCTGATGAGACTTCAACTGTCAAATTGAGGTGCCATGTTTGAAGAATTTAAGGTTTGGTTTTGAGTTAGAAATTTTGTTTATCCTTCTATAGACTTGCATGGAATGTGGAGAGAACTACTGTACAACTTGTTTTGCCAAATTCCATCTGAAAGGAGCCTTGAAAAACCATCGCTCTGTGCCCTTCCAGGTAAATTTATGAAGTAGGTGGTCTAGTATTTGAACATCCAAACTTGCAGAATTTGTCTCAGATTTTATTTGTATCTTAATTTACAAAAAAACTTGTTTGTCTTGTTACAGAAACACAACAGCTCATCTAACTCCAGTTCTCTTGAGTAAGTATACTTACTCTAACCTGACTGGCATAAATGTTGCTAGATTAAATTTGGAGAAGAACGTTTGAATCTTTTTTGATGCAATTTTTTTTCTATAATAGTTTCTTGTTAATTTAGGAAACAAATCAAAAGCATGATAAGTGTGTGATCCACAGACCAATTGCATTTCTAGGTTTCATGGCTTCCAACAAATATCCACAGATCAAAGACATTGATTGGATGGATCTCTCCATAGGTCACCAGTCTCAAATCCTCTTTTAATTTGACTTTTCCAACTGGCAGTTGATTACTCTTTAATTTGATCAACTGATAACGTCTCTCTTTCTCCAGTTCAAGTAACGGAATGACACCGTCCCCCAAGAGCTCAACAGATAGCTTACTCCTAAGACCTTCCAGCGCAAGCCGCAGGACCACCACATCAACAGATGGTGTCCCTGAACAGGTTAAGACTGTCCCCATCAAACTCAAGGTGTGTTGAGAATATTCTGGAAAACTGGGAGGTTCTAAGAAGTAGGGATAGGCTGAAAAACTTGAGGTACTTGTTGCGACGCAGTATTTTGTACAGTCAAGAACATGCTTGTTAGTTTAAACAGATTCCATCTTCCAACTTTTCTCCTGTTGTTGTAAGCACACATCAGGTTTGACTTTACCCATTCGCTTGACATCATATCATATCTGTTTTATTCAGCAAGATGTGTTCTTTATATACATGTAGATCCCTTTCACGTTACCATCGACTGATTGAATGTTGTATCACTTCCTAGGCCTCCAGGGAGATGGAGGGAGGAACCTTTCTCCAAGGCACATTCAGCGAGGAGGAGAGCGCACAATCCTTTGCCCAAGCCTTAGCAGAGTGGAGAGCTGGCAGACAGAATGGTGCCCCGGCTAGACAGAAACAGGAGGTTAAGACAGGTAGAAACGGCGGCCCTCCCTGACAGTTCCATGAAATCACTCAAAAGGGCTCAGTGCTTGGTGAATGTCTGATTTTGCAGCGGCATCATTCTATAAATTTGGGGTCCAATCTCCTGTGCCACTGTCACATCTGATATGTGACTTTGTAAGTTTAGAATACATTCTTGAATTTCCAAAAGTGATTAAGTAATGTCATTTACCATGCCAAACAAATAAAAATGTTTGAAGTCAATTACATGTACATTGACATTTCTGTGTTTAGATTAGACTGGAGTGGTGTAACGGGCACACAAATATGCCACTCTTTGGACCCTAGATTTATATAATGACCCAGCATGACATAAGTGGTCAAGTTAAATTGATGCAACATACCTCAGCTTAAAATCCTCCATTGCCAGAATCCCAGAATATAATTTGGAATAATGTACTAGTTTATTTCATTTGAATACAGTCTGTCAACATTAGTAAGATTGTGGTATTGTCTTCTTTAAAGGCACAGAGTGACGGATTTTTGTTCTTTACTGCAGAGAGCATTGCGAGTGGTACGTCCACCGAACCCCAGCCCATTGAGATCAAATTTCAGGAAGACACGTCCATCACCTACGCAGATAAACTACTCATCAAGAAGCATCGCCGCACGGAGCTGTCCCCTTTGTCCTCACCTCGACTCTCAGGCGATGAGACAAAGGAAACATGCTCACCGAGGCAAGAAAACGAGATGCTGACAAATGGACAAGTGGACAACTTTTCAGGTACTTCCTGGTAGATTCAAGTTGTCATAGATGATAGAAATTTCTGTATAATTTGACATGTTTTTGATAATTTATTAATTGGTAGAGGCATTCAATGGTGTGATTTGATGAATTATAAGTGAAATGTGTAAACTACACATTTTGAACCTCATTAATAAAAGCAGTCAATAGGTCCGATTGTGAAACACAAGCATGAAGGAGTAATCACAAAGAAACTTTTTAATGATCACACCTGTCGTTATCTCGCAGATGATGAGAGTGAACTACAGGAAGAACGCCAACGTTACATTGGCATCTTTAGTAAATCCAAGACACCAGATGAAACTAGACTAGAGAGTGCCCTCTCCATAGTTGAAGTGATTGAGGTGAAATTGGAAATGATTCTTCCACAGCTGCACATCTTTTATAATTTGTATCATTCCTGTTAGCCTGACAAGTAAAAACCTGAACGGTTCCTAAGTGATGTCTCTCTGAAGTTTTTGTTTTTGTGTGCTTTTTATTTCTATGAGCATTACCTAGTCACGATCCTTCTGACGACAAGTGCCATCGAGATGCTGTCTTTAAACAGGTCCCTGTGCACTATTCTTGCAGAAAAGTTTGAGACTATTAAATGCTTCTCAATCTTCCTAGGCCCCAATTAATGACGTCACGGAGGTGGGTTCAGTGTATAGTGTTGAAGAGGTCGATGACCCCAAATCACCAGCATTGGATCAGTTTGCAAGGTGAGGAGTACACTATGTTAGTCTCCTTTTTATATTAAGTAAATGAGAAGTAATGGAAGGAATTATAAATGGTTTGCATGGTGGCCATCTTGCAGGCCAGTGCTTTTGTTCCACAAGGTATGCATGAAGGAGATTTCCCTGTGAAACAAAAGAACTGCCTTGCAAGATGGCTACCATGCAAAACCTCTATTGGAGATGAAACGTTGGTGAGCTTTGTATTTGTGTCTTTCAGAGGGGACAGTACCTACACACCTTGTGACATCCACAGCCCTGAAACACCAGCAGAACCCCTAAACACACAATCAGAACCCTTAATAAGATCCGACGAGCTCAAGACTTCTGGTCAGTCATCAACAAGGTTATCATCATTTCAGAGAGAGCAACACCATCCAGAAAGCAAGCCAACAAGACCTGGATCAACTCCGCTGAGAGGCAACCCCACAGGCAAGCAGACGACAAACAAACAGCAGCGTTCAACGCCTGAGCAGTTTGATGCCTCCATGAGTCTTGCATCCATACGCTCCGCAAGAACAAAACCCGCCCAGGAGAAAAGTCCCACCAAGCCGAAATCCAAGAGTGCGAACCCCAGAGCAGCAAGTAGACCATTAGCAGAGACCTCGGGACTGAGAGATGCTCCTGAAAGCAAAACACCAGTAGGGAGCGTTTCGGGACTGACAAGCAGCCCATCCAGGGAGCTCGTGACAACCAGTCATCTCTCCAGGCATCCTTTGTATCAGTACAAGGCAGGTCTAGGAGATTTCTTCCTGGCTGGGATGGGAGGAGAGCAGGTTGATGTGAGCACAGAGGTTGGCAAGGATGGTGGAATGATGACGCCCATCAATCAGCTTCCAGAATGCTCCTACAGGGGTATGTGTACACACATTCTGAGAATATCCCACTACAGAGCAGTGAACGCAAAGAGATTCCTGTGCCAGATTTTAAATCTGAAGTTCCATGTTTTTGAGGAAAATCGCTCTCATTTTATCAAACAGAGGCAAGCTCTTTTCTGAACAAAGCCATCTTTAAAGAGAATGCTTCAGCCAGCAGCCTGTATAGAGTACATTTGTTTCAACGTAGCTTTTCGGCAAGATTGCTGTAGAGGAGATATATACTATGAGTGTCTGCTGCTAGGGAGTGGTTTTGCAACATTTGTTTTCACAGCCGATTTCAAAACTACCCCTTGAATGGCACAGATCAATATTACAAGTAAAAAAAAATCTACTGTGGGATTGGTCGATGTCATCTTTGCAAACATGTTTCTGTCTTTTACAGGTGCTGTGACTTCATGGCGACCAGATAGCAGCCTAGCAGTCGCCATGCCAACCCTCCACGAATCCCTCCAACCCTTCTCCCCGTCTCCTCCGCCAAAGAGCAGTCGTCAATCCCAACGCAGTGCTGCCAAGTCCCGCCTCGTCAAGCCCCCGAGGGCCCAAGAGCCCGGGGGCGCGGAGATCCAAGGTCGCATGGCAAGGGTCAAGGGGGAAGGGTCTGGTACCAAGCCATGCCCTGATGCGGACAACACCATCTCCTGGGTACTGAGTGAGGAGCTGTCCAAGAAGGGAAAGAGATTGAACAACAATAACAATGAGACAATAGGAAATGAAGCACAAAGCACGGAGCAAATGGAACCTGATCGCAGTAGCAGTCGCATCGAGGTGGATGGTGAGTTTTTACCGGACATAACTCTTAACCTTTCTCCAGTTTTACTATTCCTAACTTAAAAGCATCATTATTGAAGGCTTTCTGAGATCTTGTCAGAATTTTCCTCATCCGTTTGCTTTGGTGGTCCCGAAGCTTGAGGGTGGTCGGTCAGCAAATCTCACATCTAATTCCGAGCCATTTGGTATCTGGCAGGAGACGACATGACGGTTTATGACAACGTGGGCAGGGATGATACGGAGATGGCTGATAAAGAAACCCTAGAGCAATTGACCTGGGAGCTAGCCTCACAGTCCGGTAGAATCACAGGTAGTCAATCACTCAGTGATAGTTATTGTCACCGTGATGTTAATTAATTACAGTACCTGTTCTGTAGGCAGTGAGCAAATAGGTAGAGTACCCTGGTCATTGATTGTCAGATCATGGTTCAATCCCCACTTTAGTTATAACTCTGTTAACCTCCCCTCAAATTGTATTTTGCAATCTCTTCCTCTTATTATGAAAGCCTTTTTTGGAATTTAATTTTTTTTCCCCCAATTTTTTTACCCATTCTGAATCCTCCAACAGCCAGGCGGCGATGTAGCTGGGGTACAGGGCACTTGGGAAGCCTTCATTTTCTAGAGGGGGCACTCGGTGGGTTTGGTCACTGTTAAAACAATGACAAAGTGGACTATCACTCCATCGTTTACCGTTCTCTTATTCCTGAGCAGCCAAGACCGGATGGGATATTAAGCAAAATGATGTTAATTACTCATTGCAGCGGATGGTCGTCTTACCAGCATGAGCCTCCCAGATCCCAACGATGACCACGACAATGCTGATGACATCTACCGAGAGAACAGTTTCAGCCAAGACGCCGAGCTGGGCATCCTGCAAGACGATGGCATGGGATCGGGACTTAGCACACCCTACGACTTCCTGACAGGCGAGAGCATCAGCTCCGAGGAAAGCGACGAGGACAGCCAAGGTTTCTTGGAGATGCAGAGATACACAGCCGAGGTGCAGGCATTGAATTAGTCAAGGCTGCTGAATCCAGGTACTTGTGAATGCCCTTAGGATGTCCTGTCTGGTTTTTCCTTGAAGCAACCCCGAGCCCTTGTCCTTCGTAGTAGAATCATGTATCCAGTACCATTTCTCGTCACTCCTTAAGGACAGGCATTAGCTTCTGAGTAGTCAGAGTGCCAGAACACTCCACAAACTGAGTAGGGTTTTAGCCAGCAGTCTTTAAATTTGCTTTGAAGTGAACAAAACAAGGCATCCAAGTTTCTGACATTTTATTTATCCAAAATTTATCAAAATGACCAACAGGGTTTCTGGAAGACGTCAAGACAAATTCCTGGCTAAGCCCCTAGCATTGGAAAGATAATGACACGTAGATCTCTAGCTCAGGAAAACACAGTACACCTTTGTACCATGCTAAAATCAAGAGAAAATAATGCTGAAGCAGTTACACCAAAAGCTGGTTTGCTGATATCCATTTATTCCAAAATTTTTTTACCACGGATATTAACTGCCGTACTTGCAGTTACCAAAAGTTTTCTCTTACAGAAAATCCTCCTTTTAACACCAAAAATACATTCATTTAATTACAAATTTCACATTTGAATGTTTGAGGGAAAGTTATGTTTTTGTTAACACAGTCCAAAATTGGACATCTGTCAGGTCTATTGTTGGAGATCCGTCCAGACTTGACTTCACTGTCTGTGCATAACATTTACTGAGAAACAAGGTCTTCTGCCTGCAGAGAAATTCAAACTTAAAAGATGATAACACGTACATGTATACACTGCTTTCTCAAAATGTTAAGGTTTTCCGAATGTTCGGGTTGAATATTGATAGAATATATTGCTGTTTTCTGTGACATTATTGTTCTTTACACACTGATTCCATCCGTTGTAATTGTTGGATTTTGTTTTCTTTCATTCCGTCCAATTTCTTCCAAGAATGTGGTACATGTATATAAAATGTTGCTGTTACTCTGTGTATGAAACGGAAAGTGTTTAAATTAAATCTGAATTGAAAATAGTTAGTCCCGACAATAAATAGTTCTTCCTTGTACTGAATTCCTACATTTTTATGGACCAGAAATAGCGTGTCCTTGATGTCCATTGGAATGGTACTAAATACAATTGAACCTCGTTAATAAGAGCACTCTTAATACAAGATTCTGCTTACAATGAGGAAATTGTTAGGTCCCACTCCTTTGTTTTTCATTGTTTTCATCCCGGATAATGCTAGGTTCCTGTATATAACAAGGTAATTTGCCAAGTCCAAAGAACTCTTTTTAACGAGGTTCGACTGTAATGCTTAATGAATAGGCTGCTCTCATAGTTATTTGAATGCAAAATATATTGCAATGTGTATCATCAGTTCCAAGTTCCATATTTTGCATACACCCTAGGGGTTTGTAGAGTTTAGGATACAAAGTCATTTCAATAACCTCAAGATTGACTGGATATTCTTCTAAAATTGGGACTGTGCTTCAGCGTTGTCTAGTAAGAACGAGATAACTGTGCATTACGATTTTAATGTAGGCGTATAATATACATTGCGTACTAAAAGTTTCGTTGCAGTAATTCCAAGTTAAGACTTCCACTTGATTCCTGTTCAGGTATTTTAGGAAATTGAATTCCGTAAAAAGTTTACATCAAAAACTCTAATCCTGTGCTTCGGACGTATGGAAAGTGTTGTATTTTCGTAGGTGAAATAAACTACATTAGAAGAAGAGATGTGCTTCATTCTGTTCATGTTTATAGGACAATGAGGAAGACTGAAATTCTCATTTTAGATTTGAAGAATAAAAATGTGTGTGAGCACGTAGGATGTGAAATGGCTTGCAGTTAGGTCAAGGTCACTATGCCCTGGGTACACCAGCAAATGCACATCTGTGGTGTGAAGGCACTTACATGTACTTGCACTACAAATTGACAAAAACTGAACTGTGAATCAAGGATTCGGGATGACAGGGTATGAATCTAAATTGGCTAATCTTGTGAGGCACTGGAAAGTTATTATGGTTTGACATGGGCCCTTGTCAACAAAGCTGAGTTTCCATCGTATTTGGGTCACCGTGCATCGAACATTTTCTCTCCCTGAGTATAAGCTCAAGTGGTTAAAGAATCTAGGTCCCTGTTCTCCGCATTACCTCATCACCTGTTCCTAGCCACTCTCTGTCTGAAGTAATCTGGGGCGACATCATAGAGCCACTGAGGGTCGATGACACACACATTTCTAGGAGGAAACAAAAAAAAGTTACCCCAATTATCACTGGAACGATGAAAACCCGGGAGAAGATTGGAACATGTTGATGGTTCAAGAAATTGTCCTGGCCGGGATGGTTTTGAGATCACATCATTTGTGTGCTGCAAAGAAAGAAAGTGATCCCTGTTCAGAGTTTCTGCTGGCTTCATTCGTCACTGGTCTTGTGTTTGGTTCATTTCAAACAACTGTTCTCGGTGCTTGACGGTATACTTCATTATACAATCAAGGATGCAACAAAACAGTGGCAAAACCATATCCAAGGCTCTGGTTCCTATTGGTCTACTATTGTCCAAGCAATAGTTGAATAATCAGAGTTTATACTTGAACTTCATAATGTAGTGTAAACTTTGTGTGGCATCACATGGGTTAAGGAATACAGAGATGCTGTTAAGGTTTAGATTGTGGTTTAGATCTGATGAAGATAGGCATGAAATCACCTCATGTAACACTTGGTGGTTTGGACGAGTTCACCATAAAGGAGGTATGCTGGTTTGCATTGGAAGAGACAGGATGAGGGGTGGATGCTGACTGTCTGCTTGCGATCAAGCTGCAGGAAAGGTAGAAAATACACATGTCTCACAGAAAACTGTGGTTTAAATGGCTGAAAGCAGAGTTGGGAGGGTGTGTCATGATGCACCTCATGCATATGCACAATGTGGCTAGCTTTTAATTTGATTGGCTGATTCCTCGTGACACCTAAAAAGGTGGATGATTTTTTTGTATTGCACATTTGCAGCATACAAACTGTTGGATTTACAAAACAACTGACAACTTCGTTATTAAAGAACAAAATCATTAAAAGTCACCCTAACAAAGTCTGTTCAGCTGAAAACAAGCTCAGACTGGAGATTTCAATGGCTTCAATGTTTTTAGCCTAACTGATGATGTGTAAAGTGTCTCACTGTGAAGTACGTGCCATCTCTCTGCAACTCAGCAGAATTCATGAACAGTCCCTGAACAAGGCATTTCCTGAAAGACATGAAGGGAAACAGCAGTGTTGTAACAAGTCACTAAATTTGGTGACTCAAGTCATTTTAACATTGTGACTTGAGTCATGTCATTAGGTCAAGAAATCGAGCGAGTCAAGTACTGAGCTCAAGTCAGGTACTGAGCTCGAGTCAATTTGAGTCACAAATTTTTGAGCAAAGCACAATAACACAATAGTCATATTTTGGTTTATTTTCATTTAGACACACTATGTATACATCGTGTACTACGTATTCACAATCGATATAAGAGCAGCACCGTAACTCTGATTTCAAATTAGGTTTTTTGCCAAAAGAATTTTACTTTTAACTTTTTAAGACTTGAGTCTAATAAGCTTGTACTCAAGTCAAGTCTCCATGAGTGATTTGAGTCGAGTCATTAGGTCGAAGAGACTCGAACTGAGTGGAGTCATTTACCCATCAGGACTCAAGTCGAGTCATTGAGTCGAGTCATTGACTCGAGTCATGACAATTCTGGGAAAAGTTGAATATCTGATGCTGGAACACAAATACCTGAAACACAATCACTTATTCAGACCGGCAGGATTAAAGTAACCAAAACAATTGGTTAGAATTATCCTAGGAAGGAATTGATCGCATGGAGTAGTCTTTTCAGAATCAAACTTAAAGAAGAAGCCCATTACCTGACTGGCGTGGTGTCCTGACCACATGACATGATGGGCAAACCAGCCTTGACACACAGGTCCCTCAACTGGGCCCGAATCTCCATGGCATGCCGCATGTTACGTTGATGCACAAAGTTTTCAAAACACCACTCCTGCAGGGACAGATTCAGAGAAATGAGGTACGTCACGTTCCGTCCTTACGGTGACTGACAAGCCACAGGGTTTTGTTTTTGCAAACAAACCCCCAAATTTTACGTTGTGCTGACTGACGTGCTTGGGCAATGTTAACCTTGTTACTCCCAGGAATTTGATACTAAGTACAGGAAAAACCCTGCTCAGCAGATACAGGTTACCAATCGAAATGCACGGTTCATGAGTGGTTCTCGGCAGATACAGGTTACCAATCGAAATGCACGGTTCATGAGTGGTTCTC